TTCTGGGCACACTCCATTAGGAAACAGTTCACGCACATCAGCAGCAAATGGGTAGACAGGACTCAGTTTTATCTTACTTTCACAGCTGAAAACACAATGCCACCGATAAAACTGAAGTACTAAAGCAGTTAAAAATACAATGGTCTACAAAAAGCATATATTCCTCTTGTAAATAACACATAAGCTTCTCTGAAGTAGGAAGAAGGCAGTAACAGGAAGCACTCCTCACAATTTTGAGATCAAAATATATGTGTTTTTAATCATTACTCCTAGCAAGCAGATACTTTAAAGAGAACTTCCCATGCACATTGCCATGTTAGTAAWGAAAGCAACTACAAGTATTTAACTCACTAAGGCACSAACTTTGCTTTCAAGTATATTAATACTCTGAGCATATCTAAGATCCAGAAAGCTTACCTTGTACAAAGTGTAACTCGCTCTAAGCTCCCACTAGCGTGCCCTGAATTTATATAGCCCAGTAGCCCCTCCTACAGACGGAACTGTATACAATTCCCTGCAGATAAGAATCTTCTTTCTTAAACAATTAATTCTRCTTTGTCACACTATGCACTAACAGAAAAGAAATTTTCAGCTTACGTGTGCAAATGTAGGACTCAGTAATTCAAGATCCGTTTAAACATCTGAGATAGTAGAAAAATTTGATGTCTTTTATTTCCATTATTTAGGATTTTGGTACTTAAAAATAACCAACATAGCTGAAAGACTCCCCAGGTGTAAAAAAAAATCTTACAATAGTATACAGTTTCTCACTTAAATATGTTATGATTTTCTACTTCTTACAAATTGTCTCTTTACTGATGCACTAAYTCAGGTTGAATCATACATGAACTTCCTTCCCTGCTCTGCTGGTGGGGGGATATTCCTTCTGGACATTTATCCCTGCCTAACATTGATTCATGTGCTAGATTTCACTCCTGGACGTAGAAGATTTTTTTTTTTCTGTTTCCATCAAAGATAATTCCCTGAGTTTAATCTAGTGAAAACACATAGTACAGACAACTCCAGATGATGGTGGAAGATGAGCGGTGTCTGAGCGCTGTTTGATGTCCACTGTCCCATGTTAGCCCACTGCTGAATGGGGAGGGTGTCTTGGTGATGGAGAATGCCGAGAAAGTTGACTTACTAAATGCTTTCTTTGCTTCTGTCTTTCCTGCTAAGGCTAGCCCCAGGAACTACAGAGCCCAGATAAAAGAGAGAGCACTAGTAGAGAGGAAGACTTTACTCTCATCAATTGGGTTAGGGATTATTTAGGCAAACTGGACACCCATAAATCTATGGGTCTTGTTGGGATGCATCCACCCTGTGGGAACTGGYAGGGATTGTTGCTCAGCCACTCTCCATCATCTTTTAGAGGTCATGGAGAATGAGAGAGGTGCTAGAGGCYTGGAAGAAAGGCAACATTACTCCAGTCTTAAAAAAGGGCAAGAGGAAGGAGATGGGAAACTACCTTGCYGCTGTCCCTGGAAAGATGATGTAGCAGCTCCTCATAGAGAGCATATGTAGGCATGTCAAATAAAAGGAGGTGATCAGGAGTCAGCATGGATTCACCAAGAGGAAGTCATGTTAAACAAACCTGATAGCCTTCTATGATGGGATGACTGGCTGGATGGATGAGGGGAGAGGCGTGGATGTTGTCTGCCTTGACTTCAGCAAGGCTTTTGACACCATCTCCCATAATATCCTCATTATATCCTCCCCTGGAGGGAGGTGATCCTGCCCTCTACTCAGCTCTGGTGAGGTCGTACCTGGAGCATTGGGTGCAGTTCTGGACTCGCCAGGATAAGAGCGGCATGGGGCTTCTAGAGAGGGTCCAGTGTAGAGCAACAAATATGTATGAGGGATTCGAGCTTCTCTCATGTAAGGAAAGACTGAGTGAGTTGAGCCTGTYTTCTCTGGAGAAGAGAAGGCTGAGAGGGGATCTGATCAATATGTATAAATACCTGAAGGGAGAATGTAGGGAGGAAGGGGACAAGCTGTTCTCAGCGGTGGCCTGTGACAGGACAAGGGGAAATGGGTGTAAGTTGAAACACAGGAAGTTCCATCTGCATGTGAGGAGGAACTTCTTTCCTGTGAGGGTGACAGAGCCCTGGAAGAGGCAGCCCAGGGAGGTTGCAAAGTCTCCTTCTCTGGAGGTCTTCCAAATCCAATGGGAGGCAACCCTGTGCCATGTGCTCTAGGTGTCCCRTCTGGAGCCGGAAGGTTGGATTAGATGATCTCTGGAGGTCCCTTCCAACATTAATCATTCTATGATTCTCTAATTCTGAGGTCAGTAAATAAAGGCTGTCCTCTGCACTTCTGGCACCTTTCTTCTGATAATTGTATTTACTTTAAGGAGTAAATAGGGCATAAACTCCCTTGCATCCTCCTGCCTATCTAATCTCACTGGTCAATAATGCTGTAAACATCACCTTCAGACTAGATCATCATCTGCTACTATAAAATCTGCTGAATCACCCTGAATCTTATAGCAAGCTAGAATATTATTCTTGCATTACCCATCAGGGATGTGTGAATTTTACTCTGTCAAGGAAGGTATTGTTACAGTGCAAGACCCCCTCCTCAAGGTCTTTCCCATAGAAGAGAAAGTGCTGTGTAGGTGCTTTGCTGCTACGTAGCTGAGCGTGATCCTCTCCTCATCCCTTTCCACCACCAGTGCCTGTTAGACCAACAGGTTCCATGCTTGGCAGTAAAAAAAAAAAAAAGCAAAATTACTCAGAACTGGATCCACATAAGAACAATTTGTTGAAGTGGTCACCAAGGCAATGTCTTGTCTTTTAGGAGGTGCCTCATCCCAAATAATAGCTTGCAAGCTCAATAAAACCTTCCTCTGTACGCCGTACTGCACCAGAAGAGAGCCAAGTCCCCCAGAAGAAGACTCTACTGATAGCATATCCTGTAGCCTCTGCTTTATGATTCAGGCTATTTCCTTTATTTCTTACCTTTGTCCTTTTCTTACATTTTGGAAAGTTCTCTTCMAGCTCTTAATGCCTGCAGAGGGATTCAGTCACCAAACCAGAGGTGTCCATGACACCTGGAGTGTTCTCWGGCATCCCACTGACGTYCCAGCAGCATCATCCCAGGTAGTACCAGGCACATAGAGTAGTGTAATGGAAACACCTTGTTGGTATCACCGTGTTGTCAAGAACACGTTTCCTGAATTTTGTTTGCTGTTATTGTCTTGACTATACTGAATTTGTTAATGTTTTATAATGAATAAGAACTCTGCATAAAAATGGTTCACTTGCATGAACCATTGGTGATTCCAGGGAATGACCATTTCCCTGGAATTCGAGAGAGCCCTTTGATCTCTTCAGGGACCTCCTTKGAGGAACCTCCTGGACCAGGGTCCTAGAAGAAAAGGAGGTGCAGGAGAGCTGGCTAATATTTAATCACAGTACCTTTTTCTCTTAAGCTCAGAATCAGTGCATTCYTACAAGAAAGAAGTCAAGCAAGAAGG